TGGAAAGAAGAAGGATACGAGTTGAATGGAACCTATGGTGGGCATTATGGCTGGGGTTTAGTCGTGGCCCATTCACACGTGTAGCCTCGTGAGCCATAGAGTGTGTGCCATAGTGTGTCCCATGCGCTGTTAAGGGGCGAGCGTCGGAAAGGCGCGGAGACAGGCTGAATGGCGTGCGTCATGCGGGCTTCTGCGGCGGAGGGACGGCTTGCGATTGCGCATATATCTGCATGCGAAGGTGGCGCGGGTATAGTGGTTGGAGGCGCGGGTTGGCGGATGTTGGCGCGACGGGCGGGGGCGTCATTGGGAGAATGCGACGATATGCCTTGCGTTGCTAGGGTTACGCCCTGCATGTGTTGCGGCGATTCGGGCGTGCCCAGAGGCGCTGTAGTGGTGCACTCCCTGAGCTTAACGTTAGGGTGATCTGGTTCGTCGAGCAGTGTCTGAGCGATGTGACCGGTCTCGGTGTCCGTGGACGTTTTGGTGGATACACGGGCCTGTACAGAGCCTGTAGTATGCACCTCGTAGGTGGTTGTTTCCTGGCTGGGCACCACTGGCTGGATTCCTTGGCCAAAGAAATCGTCGCCGGTGGGTGCGGCAGGTGATGTTTCGCGGAAACGTGCCAACGGAATGAGATCGGTTGCACTAAACTCACTGTCGGACGCCGATTGGCGTTGTGGAGGGTCGTCGCTATCAGCATCTGATTGCGAATCGCTGGAGTGTGTGGATGCACGTGCTGCATCTGGATGCGCGAGCGTAGCTTGCCGCCGTGGCTGTTGCCTCGTGGGAGCGTGGCGGGGCTGCGCAGGTGCCTTCTCGGGCACCGGGCGGGGTTTGTCCCAGCGAGCCGAGGGGTGTGCTGCCCGAAGGTTGTCGATGTGCGCTGTTATGCGACACATGTCCGACTCGTGTTGAATGAGACACTTTTTCGGGGACAGCATTTTGATTATTGTATAAAAAGGTTTCCAGGGCGATGCGAGCTTGCGTGTGGTGTCTGGTTGGAGTACGGGGTCGTGGTAGTAAACCGGATCTCCGGCTTTGAAACGCTGTTCACGCGCGCGGCGATCATAGCGGCGTTTATTTTGCGCGCGCATGTCGCGGGTCGCGTCGCGCATGTGGACGTAGGCCTGATGAAAACGTTCGAGAGTTTGCTGAATGGGGTCGTCGTCATATGTCTTCCTGCGGGGTAGGAGTAGGTTATCAAGTGGAAGCGTTGGGTGTCTGCCATACAGCAGATAGAAGGGGGAGTGTTGCGATGTGCCGTGAATACAAGTCCCAATTAGTCTGCTGTCGGTTAATGACGGTGGCAAACATAGAGTTTAAAACGCGATGAAAGCGTTCGCACGCCGCGTTTGATGCGGGGTGATAGGGGGCGCAGCGGACTGCCGTTATGCTGAAGTGGCGGGTGAGGGCATCCATGACGTGGTTGCAAAATTCGGTGCCGTTATCGGAAAGTAAGATCTTCGGGCATGAATGTCGAGGGATGATTTCGTTGACCAAGAGGTCAGCGACAGTCTGCGCGGACTTGTCCCGTACCGGAAAACACTCTGGCCAACTCGTGTAAGTGCAATGGAAGTGAATGATGTAGCGATGGCCTCTGGGTGTCAACGGAAATTGGCAGGTGTCGACTGCGACTACCTGGAACGGCGCATCTGGGAAGGGCGCAGCTCCCAGTGGAGACGGTATGCGTTGGAGCTTGGCGGAGTTGCATGCCACACAACTACGAACAAACGTATGAATGGTGGCGTACATTCCTGGCCAGTAGAAGCGACTACGAATGAGTGCATAGGTCTTGGGGAAACCGAGATGTGCGGCTTGATGATGAGCTTCAGTAATGAGGTGATGATATTTGGGTGGGATAACGAGTTGCATACTGGGCTCTTCGTGCCGTGTGGGTTCAGCTGCGTAGTAGATGAGGTCATCGTCATCGATCAAGTATCGTTCGACGAACTTTAGATCCTTCAGTAGTGGGGCGGAAGCGGTGAGAATGTCGCGAATCTTACACAAGTGTGCGTCCTGATACTGTTCTGCGCGAATGGCGTCGAGCGATATGGTGTCTATGCTGGGGCCTGGGGCATTTACTTCACATGTAGTTTGTGCAAGGGGCGGGGGTTGCGGAGGGGACGGGGTTGGTAGGGTTGGCGGGGGTGGCGGGGTTGGCGGGGGTGGCGGGGTTGGCGGGGGTGGCGTGGGTGGCGGGGGTGGCGGGGGTGGCGTGGGTGACTGGGTTGGCGGGGGTGGCGTGGGTGGCGGGGGTGGCACGGCTGGCGGGGGTTGCGTAGGTGGCGGGGGTGGCGTGGTTGGTGCCCCATGGGTTGTGGGCGGCACCTGGTCGTCGGCGGGGGGGTGGTTGTCGGTGGTATGTTGTGGCGACGAAGGGAGCGTGTGCTGCTGGGGGTCGGCCCGCACCTCGCTCTGTGTGAGGCTGTGATTGGACGGGTCTGGTGTGTCAGCAGAGCTGAGGTGGGCATGTCCAACAGGGATTCTGGACAGTTGATCGGCGTGAACGTTTCTGGCGCCTTTGAGGTATCCAGCAGAGCTGAGGTGGTCATGTCCAACAGGGATTCTGGACAGTTGATCGGCGTGAACGTTTCTGGCGCCTTTGAGGTATCGTATCGTCGGCTGGTACTCGCTCAGAATCGTAGCCCACCGTAGCAAACGTGGATTCTTCAATGTGGGCGACGTAAGGAAATACTCGAGTGGCTTATGGTCTGTGTAAATGGTAAGGGACGCGCCCGCAAGATAGTGGCGCAAGGTGTCCAGTGCGTAGATGATGGCGTATGCCTCACGTTGTGTGACTCCCCAGCGTGCTTGCGAGGGGTTGAGCTGATGCGAAATATATTGTATGACGACCTCGTGACCGTCATCATCGTCCTGAGCTAAGACGGCTCCAACTGCAAAGTCACTAGCATCGGTGTAGAGCTTGTATGGTTTGTCGGTGTCGGGATATGCGAGGATGGGCGCTGAGACAAGTTTGGCTCGTAACTGTTGAAAGGCGGTCTCAGCGTCGTCAGTCCATTTGAAGTGGACATTCTTCTTGGTTAGGGTGGTCAAGGGCATGGCGATTTTTGCAAATGATTTGATGTGGGCCCGATAGTAGTTAGCCATGCCTAGAAACGATCTGACCTGCCGAACGTTTGCCGGCGCTTTGAGCTGTTGGATTGCCGCAACTTTGGCTGCGTCCGGTGAAACACCGTGCGGAGAAATGACATGACCCAAATACTTGACAGACTGTTTCAGGAAAACGCATTTGGTAGGGTTGAGTTTGAGACCTGCTTGGCGTAAGCGATGGAAGACCTGTTGTATGTCAGCAAGGTGCTGCTGGAGGTTCGGAGAATGGATAATAATATCGTCGATGTACGGGATAGCGCACTTGTGCTGTAGGCCAGCGAGCACCATGTTTAAAAGTCTCTGGAAAACGCTAGGTGCGTTGGCGAGTCCGAACGGGAGGACAAGATATGAATATGACTGATCGTGTGTAACTATGCAAGTCTTATCGACATCTCCGGGGGCCATGGGTATCTGGAAATACCCGGACTTGAGATCTAAGGTGGAATAAAAGTTTGATTTGCCTAGGGAAGCTAGAATGTCATGAATACGAGGGAGGGGGTAGACATCCTTCTTGGTTATGGCGTTCAAGCGACGGTAGTCAATGACCATCCTACCGAGAGGGTCATCTCGTTTCGGAACGATAAAGGCAGGGCTGCCCCACTGGCTTTGCGATGGCGTGATAATACCGGCGTCTAACAGTCGCTTGATGTGAGTATCCATTGCGTGGCGGTAATTGAATGGCGTTCGATAAGGTTTCTGTCGGATGGGTGGATGGGTAGCCGTGTCAATGTGCATTTTAACAAGGTGCGTACGGCCAAGCTCGGCATCATTGAGCGCGAACAAATCATCGTTTGCTTCGATGAGCTCTTGGATGGATTTCCGATGCTGGCCAGTTAGGTGGGTGAGATCGACGGGTAACTTGCGGTGGTTGTGCGCTGCGACATGGTTGACGTGGGGTTGTGAGCGAGCGGTGGGTATGCGAGATGGCTGGGGTCGCCGCATTAACGGCGTGCAGCTTGTGCTGGACACGTGCGTGGGACGAGACGTCGGCGATTGGGGGGTAACCTTGCATGCTATGGCCAATGCAGAGCCACGTGGCAGAGTGATAGGCGCCGACGTGTCATTGAAAAGAGGCACGTGGACATAGGGGGAGTCGATAGGCGTCATAACGGTATCGACCGTGTAAATGTTGGGGTGGGCTGGTCGAAGCGTATTCGCACCAGTAAGTAGGACAGACGCGTGAGGGGGAGGGGCGTTCTGACCGAAACGACCATAGCAACGTTTGACTACATTGGGCTGTAGCGTGCAGGGGTGAAGCAACGAGACGGTATAAATCGAAGTAGTCTCATCAGCAGCGTTGCTTAGCTTAAGACGCACGGCGACCTTAGCTATTGTAAGTGTAGCGCGGCCACAATCAAGCTGAACATTGTGCGCTCGCATGAAATCGAAACCTAAAATGACGTCACGTAAAACGCCTCGTACTATGAAGAATGAGTGTGTAACGGTAGAGCCGGTAATACGTACGGGTAGGGTGGCGCGACCCAGGACAAATAATTGATCTCCCGAGGCCGACTTCAAAACTTGTGTGTGGTTCGCACTAAAACAATGTGCGTAGCGAGCCTTGAGCTTCAACCAAAACGATTCGCTGATGAGTGAGGTCATTGCACCCGTATCAATGAGTGCGTCCGTGGGTGCTGCTCCTATGTAAGAGGGGCAGAGAGGTGCAAGATGACTGGAATTGTTACTATGTAGCGCACGCACGCGCGGGTGAGACAAAGCGAACTGGGCCGGTCTCCTCAGCGTCTCATATTGAAAAGAGGCCGGGCGTTTCCCTGGGGACGCTGAGCGGTGCGTTCTTGGCGTGCACGGCACTCACGCCAATAGTGGCCGGGCTTCTCACAAAAATGGCAAATAGCGGTGCCATCCGGGGTCCAAGCGAAGGGCGGGGTAGCGCCGCGTTGATTGGGGAAACGAGGCGTGCGCATCATTTGTGAGCCGGCCGACACAGCCGGTGCATAAGACGGGCGGGCAGCATATGACCGTGCGGTAGTAGTGGGGCGCTCGGAGACATACTGGCGAGGCGGAAACCGAGGCTGTTGATACTGCGGGCGAGCCTGAAGCGGCTGACAGTGCGGCTCCTGGCGGGGTTGGGCCGCCTTCTTTGTGAACTGGATGATGAGGTTGCGAAGCTCGCTCAGTTGTTGCTCCATTGTTGCAGCAACTGGAATGGTTGAAACATCCAGCGTGTCCGGTACCGTGTGGGGGGTGCATGCGCACTTCAACATCGCAGGCAGCCTCCTGCGAGGCAAGTTGCACCGCCTGTGCGTAGGTGGGTGGTTTCTTGCGCACGAGAAGGCGCTTTAAAGAGGTGGACGTAAGGCCGTCGAGAAGCTGATCAATCAGTCGCGCCTGGAGCGACGTATCGGAATCATCAAGGTCGCCAAAAGAAGTGCGCGCATGCTGTTCGAGGCGTTTGGAATACGCCCGAATGGACTCGTGCGAGCGTTGCTTCGCACGCTTGAATTCCTGCAAGGCTACTGGCGCACTTGTCGTATCAGTGTAACGCTCTTTGAGAATGGCGGCCAAGCCCGTCCATCCCAACGTGGGGGTGGCACTCAATGCCTGGGCTGCGCAATCAGCTGGCTCCCCTGCCAGTAAGCGCAATGCCAATCTGGCTTGCCTGTCGTTGTCATTCTCATCAACGATCAGGAATAAACGATGGAGATTCAACAGCCATTGTTCGAAGGTAACGGGTGAGTCATCACGCCCATCATACGCGAGAAAGCCACTGACTAAGAGTAGGCTTTGAACCTCCTTAACAAGTGCGTTTAGCTGCTGCTTGGGCAATGGAATGTAATCGAGCGTATCGTCAAGAGACGTGTCGTTCGTAAAAGGACGGGTATCCAGGGTATCCAGCGGATGGCGAAATTTCGTGGTCATGGTGGGAGTGGTCGTAGTGGGGGTGGTCATGTTTT